GTCATTAGCACCTCTAGTAATATATTTACTGAGAAAAATGTTGACGTGTTCAATACTTATTTTACCTGCTGTATGTGTGCACAGAGATTTATTCATAGTCTGGGTTTGTCAACACATCACTGACATCATTTTTCTATAAATCTAAGCAAAGCAGCCTCGTTGAAAGTTTAAACAGACGTTAATATTCAGAGGAACTGTTGACCCCTGGATGTGACCTTTGAAGCTGCTTTAATGCCGTGTGTGAATCAGGAAGTATGTATGTGATTACCCATTTGTGTGTGTGTTCTGATGACAGGAGGAAAACAGCTTAGCAATTCAACTCATCCCTTGGCTGGTAAGTAAAAACATTTCCGCTCCTCMCATGGAAGCGCTGAGAATCAGATTCCTGAGATGCTTTCACAGCTGCAAATAGACACACACCCAACCGAGCAGAAAATGTGCTGAAMCTTAAACACTAATTGCCTTTTTTTWAATTATTTTTTACACACACRTAATATTCAGTTGGAATGCTGCAACCCAAGCAGGTATGAAGGTCATCGTCTGGAAATCAGTACATGTCCACAATGAGAATAAACAAAACTCTGAGGTTTGAGGAACAGGTAACTTTAGTAATTAAGAGAATTTATGCAGAATAATGGTGTAAACCAGGAGTCACTAGTGGGTGGTGTGGCCCGCTGGTGACTCGGGCCCTGCCAAAAGGACCTCAAAGCAGCTCTTAGAATCTAAAAGCTACATTTTTTTTGTTTGCTTCATTTTTTGATGGGTATATCTGTTCTGCTTAGAATAATTTTAATATAAGTCGTCACTACACCACGTTGCACAAAGCTCAATATGAGAAGTTGACTGAGATCACATGTGCATAAGCTTTTTTATGTGGCCCTTTGTCAAAAAGAAAATGTGGCCCCTTCCCCCTTTAAGCTGCCCATCCTTGGTGTAACCACGTCCTAATGTAAGACACATGAAGGTCTGAGTGTGAAACGTAAAACAACAGCTTGTATAGGATTCAGTGGAAACATTGTGAACAATAAACATCTTCCCTGTTGTAGATAGCTCTTCAAATAGCCTCAGTTTGTAGTCTGATCAGGGCTAAGAATTTCAATCTATACAATTTTATAGTAGTTCAAATGAACACTATAAATCTTAATGACGTTTTCAGTTTTGATTTACATTTTTATTTAAAGACCTTTACAGTTACTTAAAAGTACAAAATGCAGCAAGCAGATGTAGTGATCAACCCGGGGCACTTATGACAATGATAATAATATATCTGTCAAAATAACCAAATGATGCCAAAATGACAGTGTGTAAAAGTTTGAAAAACACCTATTTTAAGGACTGGAGGTTCAGACCAGCACCAGTACTCTTTGGTTTTGGCCCAATTTGGACGGGCTTTTCGCTCATCATTTTGGTCAGAAATAAACTCTGTTTCCTCCAAACTGACATCATTTAAATAAGTATCTACAGGTAGGATATTCATTTTTAATTTCCCACAAAATGCTGCTACCAAAAATTATAATTTTGTCTAATTATAGTTTTATCAAAAAATTTTCTATGAATGCGTTTGATTTGTGCAAAAGTCTTAAACATCTGTGTTTAAGATCACGTTTGTTGAGTTTGATGTTATCTAACAGACTGAAAACACTTTTATATTAGTAGAATTACAGTAAAGTTTTTTATATTAATGATGAAAGAGGTAAAAAAAAACAGCCAAAGAAAACAACAAAGAGAAAATCATTAAGTGTTTTTTACAACCAAAGTAAAAACATGTTTTACTATTTGTGTTAGATTTGTATCGTTCTGACAGCAAACGTAACAAATTATTTCTCAAAAGGAGCACAAACCTTCTGAAGCCCAGTTTTAACGTCACAAGTTTGGGAGGTTCTCAGCATTTAGACTAAACCAGCTGAGTTTGGATAATAAGGTATCGTGCTCCATTTTCAGAGTTCGGTGGTAATTTGAGGAGCGATTTGAATCAGTGCTGCATTAATTACACACTTTGTAAAGATTAGCCAAACTTGTGAATTATGATTGCGATCAACACAAATTTTGATGGAGAGGTACGTTTGTACATTTCCTGCAAGAACACCGAGCACCTCTTAACATTTGGGATTAATATAAGATCCAGGCATGATTCTTTTTTGAAGCTGACAGAAATTTACACGTTTGGACCATATTAGTACTAAAAGAGATGTGAATAATTAAAGTTAAAAAGAGCGTGAATACTTTAAAAAGCAGCTGGGAACATTAGATATATTAGTGAAAGAGTAAAGAAGAATTGTTTTGCTTATAAAAATAATTTCAAATTAAAATGGAGATAAACAAGATGATTCAAGTGACCAGCTTCTACTTTAGGAAAACGGTGTTATGAAACTGTAGACCTGCTTTTCAAACATCGTTGCCCAGCCSATGAGAGGCCATGATTTTGGCTCACAATCCACCCCTTTAGTAAGAACTGCTGATTTTTTTTTTCATTCATTTTTACCCACTTACACTTTTTGCCACAGGGAGCTGGTGCTTATCTCCAGCAGTACCTGTGCAATCACAGGAACACCTGGAGACAAACAACTATTCACACTCTCACTCACAAGAACCAATTCAGAGTTACCAATTAGCCTAACGTGCATGATTTTAGTTTGTGGGAAGAAATTGGAAAACATTTGCTTGTGCACAAGAAGATCACACAAACTYCACCCAGAAAGGCACCAGCAGGCCAGAAAGACTACGGCCCAAACCACTGCTCCACTGTGTCGCTCGTTTCACTGTGTTCAGTTCAATGCTTACGCTGCTGTCAGTTTTATGTAATTCTAGCAAAAATCTTCGTGGGAAGTGCCCCAGGCTGCTCTGAAAGTGCTACAGCTAGCTGCTGCCACTGCTGTTTGTGTTTCTAAATAACCAAAGAGTTCTATACAAAAACACGCACCGTAAAACTGACCACAAACCACAATGAGATATTTGATATGGAGTTGTTTTAATCCACTTTAATCTTTGCCTCAGTCAGACTAGCTGTTAGATCGTCAGTCTGATCTTAAACTATTTATTGAAACTGAGATCAGAGAAAATTATCTTCTCTACAGCTTTTCCATATAACCCCATAAAAATATGAAGAGCTGAATCGCTCCTGAAAGAACAATACAGCAACAACAGGATTGGTAATCCTGAATATTAAGCRTAAAACTTGGTGACTCAGGATCCATTTATGAGCCTTAAAAATCAACATTAAAACAAGTCTTAGGAGTCCTGATATTAGGCAAGTAAAACAGATTTTCATCTCTTTGATGTCAGAAAGAAATCTGGGACAGTGAGAAAAACACACTTGTTTGGGCTCTGAATCCAGGTCAGATGTTTTGCGGAGCTTAGGTTTATAAAAATAAAATCCATTTCCTCCCAGTCTGAAGGAGGCCAAGCTCTACAGGTCAGTCCAAGCAAGTTGATGCAGTTTAGGAGGACGGTGTGTGGATGACTCAAAYAAATCTTTTAA